AGAAGAGAAAGAGAGAGAGAGAAAGAGAGAGAGAGAGAGATAAAGATTTGGAAAGAATGAAATAGAAAGTTGAAAATAAACGAAACGTTCAATAGAGATAGATATTTTTATATTAAGAGAGTTAGTAGGATAGAGAGAGATAGATAGAGAGAGAGAGAGAGAGAGAGAGAGAGAGAAAGAGAGTATTATTAATTAACAACATTAATAATAATAATTAATTATGTTTCCTTTTATTTAATTATTAATTAATCATTTCCTGCCAGAAACCCCCGCCGCTATTATGCAACATCTTGAAAAACGCCCTCCAAGCCAGCGAGAGATGTCCTGATAATGATGATAATAACAATAACAATAATAATAACAATCATAATAACAATAACAATAATAATAACAATCATAATAATAATAACAATAATAATTATCATTATGATCGTCGTTTTAATTATAAAAATTTTAACAAGAGTAATAATATAAATTATGACGACGGCTTTGCCATTGAAGAAGATGACGAAGATGATGATGATGATGATGATGATGATGATGATAATTGTGGTTATGATGATGATGACGATGATAGAGACAAATGTAATAATAATAATAATAATAATAATAATAATAATAATGGCGGCGGTGCTGATAACGCCACGAAGGAGAGAAGGAAAAAATGCAAAAGTAAAAGAAGTAAACAGTTTAAAAATTGGTCGGAAGAATCCACAGAAAGGTATTGGGTAATGATTATGATGACCATGATGACTATAATGATGATGATGATGATGATGATGATGATGATGATGGTGATGATAATAATAGTAATGATGATGATGGTAATAGTGATGATGATGATGGTGATAGTGATGCTGATGACGATTGTGATGGAGTTCCCAATTTTATTCATTTATTCAGCCAAATTAGAACTAGTGAAGAACTCATATCAATAGACATTGACGATAGCTGCAATGAAAAACTTCATCCATTGGCATCATCGTTATCAGGAGCAATTATTGTTACTACTACTACTACTACTGCTGCTGCTGCTGCTACTACTACTATTACTGCTGCTACTACTACTGCTGCTATTATTATTACTACTACTACTGCCACTACTGCTGCTAGTAGTACAACTTCAACGACTACTACAACTTCTGCAGCAGCTGCACCAGCTGCACCAGCTTCTACCTCCACTGCAGTTGATATTATTGATACAATAGAAACATTGATTACAAGTATATACACTAATTATACAACCGCTTGTGAAGCTACTACGACTACTACTACGACTGCTGTTAAAACTGCTGCTATGGGCAGTGATCGAGAAAATGTGGTTAGCATTACTACTGATTATGACGTAATCAAACAACAACAACAACAACAACATCAACAACAACATCATCAACAACAACAACAACGTCAATTTCAATTTGAGCCAAATTTTTCCCCATCAATTAACATTTATCTACCACTTGAAACGGCTTCAAAAATTATGACGTCAACATCGCCAGCGATCACAGCAACTACAACATCAACAACAACATCATCATCAACTTCAACAACAACATCATCATCATCAACAACAACAACAACAACAACATCTTCATCACCAACAACAACAACAACATCATCTTCATCACCAACAACATCAACAACAACATCAACATCAACAACAACATCAACATCATCATCAACATCAACAACAACAACATCATCAACAACAACATCATCGTCATCAATGATAAATTGGAGGAGCCAAAGTAGAAAACGCAGACCATTGGTTAAATTTAAAATTTTCAACGATGACGACGATGATGACGTCACCATAAACAACGAAAACATCAACCACAACGGCCACAACGGCCACAACGACCACAACAACAACAGCAACCACAACGACCACAGCGACCACAACAACAACAACGACTTTAGCACTATCAAAAAGCAAAAT